GCGCGCACACACACACACACACACACACACACGCATCTGCACGCGCACATGTTCGCATGCACTGCCTCACCATCACATCCCAGGAGCACAAGTACTTCGACAGTGCAGACTGGTGGGTGGGTTTTCCGGGCTGAGTTGCACGCGCACCGCCCACAGCAGGCACACGTGCACCCTTCTTCACCTTTGTATGACCCATATAGCGCTGCCTTGACGGTGAATCTTCCCTGCATTTGCACGACCTGGCACTGCAGGGCCCTGGCCAAGGAGGGCAAGGGTGGGCAGGGCGGGAGTGCAGAGCTGTCAGAACTGCAGCCCAGGAAGCCAACGGCAACCATCACGGCGCAAAGGGGCGCGTCCAAGCTGGACGCCTCGCAACCCTCGTGACCGCCGCTGACGGAGCCCTGCAACGCAGCATGCCTGACTCTACGCCTTTAAATCTCGGATTGCCAGGAATAGGACGACCTGCCTCCTTGATCCCGCTGCCATTTTGCTACCTTGACCAACTCTTTTCCATGCTGGCATCCTCTTTGAAGCATTTTTCAAGGTTTACTGATTATACATCACTTGCCCGTTGTGTCTATATTGCTTTGCAATGCTCAAAGCAGCGCCAACCTTGGACTGAGGTCACCACCCACACCTAATGTCAGGTATGTCTGACTAGAAGCGCGCACCTCTGTGCGTGTTGAAGCCCCAGAAGCCATTTTTTGCTGCCAGAGGGCCCGTTGTGATGTGTGTGATGTGTGTGACGAGCACAATTAATGGTGGGTACTTGTTGCGCTTCGCACACCCACTCACACATTCGAATGCGCGCTAACACACGTTGGCACCATCTGCTCATACATCAAGCGCTGTTATGTTTGCGTTGGAGAACGTGAGTTGTGGTGCGCCACTGTCAACAAGGTGTTTCTGGGGATTTTTGTAGCGCTCATTTGAGCACTAGTGTTGGAAACTCTACTGGGATTAGTTGGAAGCCTACTTGGGTGAAAATTCACAGGGTAGCGAAGCATATAATCTTAAATAAGTGAATTTGCTGCAAGCTGAGGAATTCAGGGTTGTGAGGCAATCATAAAGACAGAGTTGGCATCGCATACGTCGTGGCTGCCGCCAGGCACTCAGGGAGGCACTAGAGGCCAGGCACCGCAGGGAGGCGCCGCAAACTCTCATGCTCATGCCTGCGCGTGGTCAACCATGTCCCAGGCCACGGTGTATCTTGCAATGCAGGACCAGAACGCATTATAAAAGTTGAAGGAATGCAGTATGTGAGTGTGCGGTCTTCATCTGGTATCAGTGGCTGGACCCAACAGCGCATGGGCAGGGGGCCTGCACAAGATCTGCAACCAGCGCTTTCGGACATCGAGGAGTCACCTTGGTATCAAGGGCGAGAAGGTGTCGTGTTTGCCCGGCAAAGTCAAAGTCGATAGCTCGAAATCCCGTGAAAGAAGCGTTGCTGCCCCTCGTTCTCACAGATCGGAGATCCGCACATCCGGGTCCCCCGCACCAGCACCCCGCACCAGCACCTCGTGATTGCACAGCGAAATGGCGCTCGCGACATCGACCAGCCGCTCTGGCAGCCTCAGATGCGTGCGGGCCCGGGCGCCCGCCGTTGGCACTCCCCGTGTCGTGGTGCGAGCAGCGTCGGTCGCGTCGCGGAGCGGGGAGCTGGAGGCTGTCTCTCCAGCCGAGGCTGGTGAGAAAATCATATTATAGCATACCTGCATGCTGGGCAACACCCAGGCGGGCGTGAGCGCATGGCGTGACATCACTGTCACGGCGCCGTGCGTGGCTGCGGCACCCCGGCGCCGTGACCATGTGCCCATAACATCGAGTTGCGCCGCGCCGCCACCGATGCGCAGGCGACTTAATCAAGGACGGCTGGAAGGTGCTGGATGTGCGGCCACCCAGCGAGGTCTCCAGGGTGAGGGGTGCCCCTCACAACATGCTTCGGCCGCGAGGCTGATGAATTGCGGCAAACCTCCTTCAGTAATGTTTGTGCTGAGCCCTGGCCGGCCACGCCCTCCCACTGCTCCATCTGAACCGGCCCCAATTGATCACGTGCATCATCCCCCACCCCTCGTCCACCCTGTTCAATTACACTGGACAGCTTCCAATTGATGGCGCTGTGGAGGCGGCGATATACCTGCCTGAGACCAGGAACGACCCGGCGAGTCTGATCAAGCGCTTTGCGACCTACAGTAACGGCGGCTGGTGCGTGCCACTGTGTGATAGGTAGCAGGGGGGGACACGGACATGTCTTGTGAACAGAGACACGGCCACACCCGCACAGGTTGCCGGGCAGTCAGGCGTGAAGTGCCTCAATTACTTGGCTCGCCCGCTGTACTGCAACCATTTCTGCTCCTTGTGTGCCCATCAACGCAAATCACCCGCCTGTTTCACACTTCAGGTGGGTGGGCGCGACCCACATGATCCCCAACCCCACCTGGAACCAGGAGGTGCGGCTGGTGTGGCTCTGAGGGCTGATTGGTGCTTGTGGGGGCCCACTAGAAATCGCACTCGCGGTGCAAAAAGTGCAGCTGCCGGTGTCCGTAGACCGGTGACCCATGGCAACCAGCCTGGCCCAGCTTTCTCAAGGCGAACTTGCGCCAGTACATCGCCTCTTGAACTCCCCCCCCCCCAGGTCGAGGCAGCCCTGCCCAAGGACGCCAGCGTGCTGGTGCTGTGCCAGGACGGTCTGCGCAGCCTGTCAGCGGCCAGGACCCTGGGCAAGCTGGGCTACGGCAACCTGGCCTGGCTGGAGGGCGGCCTCAACGCCGCCAAGCCCAACCAGCTGCCCACCAAGCCACCGGGCAAAGACCCCAGGTGCGCAGGGCAGGCGAGGGTGGTGCACTTACCAGTGCAAGGTCCGTAAAGAACAGGCGGCGATCAGGCTTCAACAGGCAAAGGGCACCGCTGCACACACTGTGCTCGTGCTGCTCGCGTCGGCGTTGGCATTTCTATTCAACTCCACTGAGACTCCACTGAGACATGGAGCTTGCATTGACTATCCCACAAAACGCGCACTCATCCTCACCAACAATCTGATGCAAGGTACGGCGGCATCGCGGGCCTGAGCGAGCAGATGGGCTGGACCAAGGTGCAGCAGGAGAACGGTGACTCGGCTTTTGCCGGTGGTGTCAACAACCTCCTGCTGGTGCGCAGCTTGAGGGTTCCCTGGGATCGCACGGCTCCCTGATCAACGGGGCCGCCTGGCTGCTCGACCCCCTCCGCCCACGCTCAGCCCTGATGTGATGCATGGCCGCACCACCCAGCATGCAACCGCCGCCCCACCCTCCCAACCCCGCAGGGTGTGGGGGTGTTCTTGGTGCTTGACCTGCTGTCCATCGCGGTTGGCTACATCAATGTCCTGATCAACGGGCCAGCAGTCTAAGCACAAGTTGCGGATGGCGTCGCTCGAAAACGCTTGTACATGTTCATGTGTGTGAATTAAAGTCGTCACTGACTGGTGCAGATCTGCACAGGATGCCTGCAATCGTGTCTTGTGGCTGTAATTTAAGGTGACACTGTCAGCTTAAATCACAGCCAGTGTCACCAATGGGCGGGCCATTACATCATGGCCGCAGGGTTGCGTCCTTCCCGTGTGGCTTCGTTGTTACAAATCAAAGTCAGAGGTTAAGCTGCATCTCAAAAGTCTCTACGTGCTTCGTCCGCCACCCATCTGGCAGCTCTTCAGGTGGCAGCACACGAACATGACCGAATCGAGCTCGTGCCGCCCCCAGCAGGGCCTCACGCACCTGCACTTGGCAGGGATGGTGATGCGCAGAAGTGGTGTTGCCAACTGCCTCTGCCATGGCCATGCGCACACACGGCACTGCTCGTCTGGCAGCCTAAAGCTTGCTCACGTGGCACAGGACCCCGCTTGGCCCCTGGCCCACAACACACACACACACACACACACACACACACACACACGCACGCACGTACGCACGCACACACAACCACACACGCACACACACGCACGCACGCACGCACACACAACCACACACACACACACATACACAGGCACGCGCGCGCACGCGCACAAGCACGCACCTCTGGTAGCCGCCACTCGTACGTGATGAGCACACGAGTGTGGGCGTCACTCAGGCCCTGCAAATTGACAGGGGTGAAGGGTCCGGGCTTGTTGGACATGGATGGTGCAAGCTGTTTTGGGACTGTGCTGCAGGCATGGGCAGTGACAAGGCATGTGGCATGACCAACACCAAGGGTCTTTTCCAGCCGAGCCACTCACCACGCAGGCGTCAATGAAGCCTTTGGCGTTGGTGGCACAACCCGTTGGGTCAGGATAGATGCTGCAAGACAGGTTTGGATACAACGGAGGGGTCGGGTGCGTCAGTGTGATGCTTGACTGTGCACAGTTGGCGGCATGAGGTAGATTTTTGTGACCATTTCTTTGATGGACCACGCAGTTTGTGGCCTGCATCATCTCAGCGTATTACAGATGCGCAGGGCCCGCTCAACCCAGCCCCCTTGGGGCGCGCACCTGTCGCTGGCCAGTACAAAATCCAGCGGCCCTCCCATGGCCTCGCGCACTGCCGCCACTGCCTCTGCCGCGTCGGGCGCGCTCCAATCCAGTGGCATGACCCCGGCACTGCCACGAGGCGGCACCTGCTGCTGCTGTGATTGGTAGCCTGAGCTGCCACCGTTTGCGCTCAGGGCTGCTGGCGTGGGTGTCGGCGGCACCCAGAGCAGCCGGTTTTTGGCCGCATTGCCGCGCGCGTGCACCAGCACGTCCCTCTTGTCTGTGTTGCAGTGGGGTTGCCAATGGTGAGTTTGCAAGCATGGGGCGCAACAACATCTACTTTGAAAAAACCCTTGATGCATCAGTGCACTTGACTACCCTGGGGATGTGAATTGCAGTGCACCAAGTAATTTTTGCCACCCTGCTCGGCGTCGGCCATGCACAAAGCCCCCGCCGGCTTACCCGTCAGCATGACGGATGCTCCCAGGCGTGCCGCCACCAGCCCCACAAGACCGCAGCCGGCTCCCAATTCCACACAGCGTGCGCCAGACAAACCCAGAGCTCGCCGCCGCACCCTATCCTCCAGCAGCGCGCACATGATGTAGCCCGAGTCCCACACGCACGCTCCCACGCGCACGCCCCCAGGTGCAGTCTTCTGCAACAGCATAGGGTTCTGCTTCATGACCACAGTCAGCAAGGCGTCGCTGCTGCCATTGGCGCGACCGCCATGACTGCTGCCTGGCTGGGCGTCCTCGGCGGCTGAAACCGTGACAGTCACCAGGTCGGCCGCCTGCGTCTGCGCACGGTCCACGCCCAAGAGCTCTCCCCGCACGGGCTGGCGGTCCACGGGGTCCCACCCCTCAATAGTAATGCGCATGGAGAGCCTGGAAGATTGTTGGAGCGGGGCAACAACAGTATGTCTGTCAATGTGCGGCCATGTCAGGCCGGCATGCTGCGCGGGCTGGTTCACTGGTGTGCTGCAGCCGTCACTGGGGCGGGTCTGCGCACGGGGGCTGCATGGTGTATCACTTGCCTGCTCGTGAATGTGAGTATACGGTATTGCCTTACACTTGTGACTTCGGGTTATCGTGAAAGCAGCGCTGGCGAAGTTGTAAAAAGAAGAGTGATGATCTGAGCCTGAGGTCGGCTCTGAGACTCAGGTTCGAGCCTGATTAGAGATTACGCAAAAGGTGAGTTGTCAGTGTTGCGCAGATTCAGAGCTGTAGCAAAGCACAGTCAAAGTTTCAAGCTGTCGGCTGGGTGTCATGGACCATCTCTGACTGCATGTGATGTACACTACCCCGGCAGGCCACACAACGGCCATTGCTTGCTATAATAATGCCCCACATGCTATCTCAGCCTACCCATCAGATGGTTTCAAATATAGATAGATAGCTAATACCCACAAACCTCTCAATAGTACCCGACCTTGCCCTGTGCAAAATCCATCCTGTCTCTACACCACCAGCACGTGTTCAGACACACATTACGGTACACCTAAGTTGCTTTGCCCCATCGTTTTCACCTGATATATATTTGTAGATTTATACATTGTCGGTTCAAACATGGAATTACAGGGATGGCGCTTTGTTACTTACTGCGATGCCAACTCATCCACAGGTAATGCGGGCCATAGGAGGCCAATGGCAGAGTGAGGAGATCGCATAATTCAACAATCCTCATCAGCATGCGGTGGCGCGTGAGTGTGTGTGTGTGTGTGTAAGTTTGCTTGCATGCAGGCATGCGTGCAGGTTGAAGCTGCAGCTGGTCAAGATTACGCTGATGTGCATGGGCTCTGCCGCAACTAAAAAGTCATTGAAGCAAGCCGCGCAAAGCCTGTATCCCTCATTCATCCTCATCATCAGACCCGTTATCATAAAGCTCTGAAGGAGGGCAGCCGCCTTGCAGCCGCGCCTGCCATTCTGCAACAGCGACGGAGGTCCCCGTCAGCGCGCTCTTCTCAGAGATCAGAGCGCGCAGCACCTGCAGCCGCAGGTCCAGATCGCGTCGGCGGCCCCGGGGTGCGCCAGGCAGCTCGGCGAGGACGCGTGCTGCCTCCTCCTCGTCTGCTGAGAGGCTGCTTGGGTAGGCCGCTAACGCCTTGGCGCAAAAGACCGCCAGCGCTGCCAGCACTGCAGCCTCTGTTGCTGCCGCCTCCGGCTGGGACAGCCGTCCCAGCACACGCGCAGCCAAGGCCAGGTCGTTTGGCCCCGACCTGATGCGCCACCCGGCCTTGACAAGCTCTGCCTCCCCGGCCAGCGATGCACGCAGCAGCGTGAGGCCCGTCACATCGGGGCCCGACGGCCCAAGTGCAAGCAGCGCCCCCGTGCCTTGCAGGCGGTCCATGGCCGCCAGCAGCGCACGATTTCGGGGACCGCGCGGGCCCGCGATGTCGGCAGGGAGGGCGTCGTACCTGCAGAGAGGTTGGCATTTTGCATGGATTTGACAGGGGCTCGTAGGGAGGTCGTTCAGGGGTTGAAATGCATCTTGCATCCATATGACCTGAGCCAACCAGAGCCGCGCCACGATGGCAGCCCCTCACACACACTAATAGCCATTCGCAACAATCAGCTTGCGGGCAAGGAGCCCGCCGCAGAGTATCACCTGGCATTGGTGTTGGCTGGGTCCACAAATCCATAGTCCATCAGCAGGTCGCAGGGGGACAAGCCTGGGCCATAGCTATCGAACACCTCGTCATCGGGAGAGTAGTCGCGGTGGGCGCACAGGAACGCCGTGTCTGTCTCGACGTCGTACTGCAGTACGGAGGCGTCACCTGTGCACATGACAGGGGAACGGGGGAAGGGGCAAAGATGGGGAAGCATTTTTGACAACGGGCTGGCGGATGGTCATGCGATGTTTGGAGAGTAGGAGGATGACAGGCGCGTGCGCGTATCTGTGCGATGTGCGGCATGGCAGCGAACCGGAAGCCCTGGTCCTGTGTATCCCCTGCACCTGATTCGCTGCTGTGCTGCAGCATGTCAGCCCACGGCACCAGAGCCAGCACATCCTGGCCGGCACGGTCCCAGCTGCGGAAAATTGCAGGGAGCAATTGGAGCGCGGAAACTGGGTGCCATGGCCAGTAAGCAGGCTGGCAGCTCTAGGGAGCAGGCGCCAATTCGCGCCTCTGCAACTCCTTCAAGGCCCCTCTGAAGCCAATTGGCAAGGGCCCCACCTGCCGAAATCTTCCATCGGCAGAATGGAGTGGTCTGGTTCTGGCGCCAGGTAAAGGCTGAACGCGCGGCTCAGCAGCACCGCGGCCGCCCACCCCACGCTGCCAGGTGTCACAAGGGGCTGCGGCAGCGACCCTGCTATGGGCAGCTCGTTGGCGCCTGCCGCCACCAGCGCTGCCGTGTCGCCCTCCACCTGTGCGCGTCGCGATTGCAGCAGGCGCGCCATTGGGCTGCCCTCGAGCCAGGCGCGCTGCTCGTCCCCCCACAGCAGTGGGTGGCGCGACATGTCGGCCGCCCTGAGCAGCGCCAGGTATGGTGTCCACGCGCTGGAGGGGTCCGCGCACTCGCAGAGCAAGTGGAGGATAAGGGCCTTGAGGGAGCACGGGCGTTCAAGGTGTTTTTGATGGGATTGTGGGTAGAGACGCTGTGTGCCGTCTGATAAATGTGTTCCATGGAGCAGGAGGCGGCGACATACGACCCGCTGCGTCCAGCTGTGACGCGAGCCCAGCGCAAACAGGCATGGCTGCAAACAGCATTACATCCCTGCACTTGCAGCCGCCTACCTGCCAGTCGTCAAGATCGCTGCGCTCCAGCAGGGGGCCGCACAGCGGGCTAGCACGCGCCGTGTCCGCGCTAATCAGCAGCGACCGCGGCACGGCCAGCAGCGGGGCGCCCTGCTGTACGGCCTTGCTCGTCACCATGCAGATGCCCCTGGTAACGGTTGACAATGCGTTGCGGTTGACAATGCGTAGGAGCAATGCCAGTGATCCCGATGCCGCCGGCACACTTGAGGTGGCCAGTGCCCCGTCAGCGCGGACAGGTGAGCACCTTCACCCGCGGCTGCTGCACGGGGCAGCACGCCTTGGATCAAGATTGCCCTATTGCCTTCTTTGCTCACCCTGAGGGTCCTCCTGCCGGCCGGGGTGTGAGGTCTGTTGGCAGGTCGCGGGCGCGCGCAACGTACCACGCCTTGAATTCCGCTGCAACCCCCTCAAGATCCTGCTCAGCGGCCGCCACGTCGCGCGTGGCAGCAGCGCAGCCGCAGCGGCCACGCCGCTGCGCGCGTCTGATCACAGGAGCCACACGCCATGCACATGTGGCGCCAATGGTGGCATGTGGCTGCACCCATGGGTTGGTGCAGGCCGCGCGCCCGCTACGCACGCGACGAAGCAGCGGCTGGGGCCCCGCCAACACGCCGGTGGCCACCATTTCTGAACAGCGCTGTGCGTTGCCAGCGGATCAGATTCGCAATCAAGCGTATCGATTTGAATTGATCAAGGGGAAGAGCTGGGCAAGCAAGACTTGCAACCTCCAAAAAAGCTCGTTCCGGCGTGCGTGATCAGCAGTGCTCACATGTGAAATGATAATGGTGGAATGCCGTAGGAAACAATTACATACGGGAGTGACAATCTGATATTGTACTATGGACCATTCGTGCACAGTCGCGGCTTTGATGGTTCGACAGTGAGCAGTCCGGTGAAAGGTATTTATCAGCACGTATTCACAGGGGTGCGTGCTCCAGGCTGTTGCTGGGTTGCGCGGGGAGGTCAAAGCTCAGATCAGAGCACTACCAGGTCAAAACGACAGTCGATGCGCGTGGTGGTGCACCCCTCGGACGAGTACATCGGGGCCAACCTTGCAAAAGGTTTTGAGGTGCGAACGCCGTGCCCAGCCCAACGCGCAGTGTGATGCGATGGGGTTGCGCCCGACACGATGCGGCGCTCGTCAAATCGAAATGCGAAGCTGCACGCTTCCCCCTGCATCGCCCATTGTGCCGAATACTACACCTGCAGTCGGCGGGCTATGATGTAGTGTTGTGCGCCAAGGATGATGTGGCGGCACTCCAGGTGATGCTCTGCTAGGGGTGATTGTGCTTCCTTGTGCAGGTACTGTTTTTGATGTATATGCATGTCTGAAGGCACAGCTAGCGACTAGGTGGGGTCAAGTTGCTTTCATTGCTCCTTGTCGCAGGCAAGGGCGCTGGATGCCGATGTGGTCGTTTGCGCGCTGCACGGCAGCGAAGAGGCTGCATCTTTGGCAGTCCAGGCGATGGCACGCCACCTGGTGGGTAGGCTTGGACGAGTCTGAGGCAGTGAATGTACACCAAGGGCAAAGTGGCACCATGGAAACACGTGGCCGTGCCCCAGCCACTGCTCAACACATTTGCAGAGGAGTTTCGTTTTGATGTCTTTTGGTGCTGCACTCACAACTTGAACGCAGGAATCAACGAGCAGGCAGCAGGTGTTCATAGCCATCACCACGCCACTGGCCTGGGCGGCTACGCCGCCACTGCCTGCCAGCAGCGGCGGCGCGCCGGCAGGCGCAGTGGCATGGCCAGGACTAGCAGACAGCAGTGGCGCTGCGGCGCCGCCCGGCGGCGACGCCGTCGGCAGACCAGTAGATGATGAGGCAGCGCCTGGACATCGGGGGGCAGAGTGCCACGAGCAGAATGGGGTCACAGCCACCTATACAGAGAATGACGCGACAGCGCGGCAGCCCGCGGCCTGCGCCGCCGCAACGCACCGCGCAGAGCACATGGTTTTGGGAGCAGCACGATTTGGGCGGCTGGCAACACACGTGGTGCTGCCAGGGGTGCTGTATGGTGCTGGCGAAGACGAAGCCCACCTGCACGCCCTATTCAGAGCCGCTTGGGAGGGCGGCGCGCTGCCCTTGGCAGGCGCCGGTGTAAACCGCATCCCCACGCTGCACGTAGCCGCCCTGGCAGCCTACGTGGCCGCATTGGCTGCAGCGTCCGTGAGCAGCCTGGCGCTGGCGGCGCGAGCAGCAATGGCGACGGGCCCTATCGCGCGGCAAGCGCTGCAGCAGACGCTCCTGAGTGAGTCAGCAGTAGCAGCACAGGCAATGGGCGGCGGTGCAACAGCTGCAGAGGCTCTTACTCCGCTCAATGTGCCGCAGTACCTGTTGGTAGCAGATGAGGCCCCAATCACACAAGAGCGGCTCCTGGCGGCAATCAGCACCGCTTTTGGGCCGCAGCTCTCCGCCTGTGTGCAGTGGCAGAGTTTCACAGATGTGCTGGTCACTTCAGAGCCTATTGACGATCAAGCCGGCTGCGGGATCAACATTGCCACCACTGCCAAGCAGCAGCAGCAGCAGCAGCAGCAGCAGCAGCAGCAGCAGCAGCAGCAGCAGCAGCAGCAGCAGCAGCAGCAGCAGCAGCAGCAGCAGCAGCAGCAGCGAGAGGCCATGCTTGTGCTTCAGACCCTCGATCTGCCCCTCAGGACAACCCCATTGCCCGGCGCGCGGAACCCTGCGTACCTGCGGCGAGGCAGCTTTCTGGAATCGCTTGAGGGGGCGGCTGCTGAGATGGTTTCCGCGCGCCGCCTCACTCCGCTGCGCCTGTTGGTGCGTGGAGCACCTGCGGCTGGCAAGAGTGTTCTGGCTGCACGGCTGGCGCGGCAGTATGGGCTGCCCCTCATCCGAGCGTCCACAGTTCTGGCAGAGGCGGCGCACTGTGACTCAGAGCTGCAAAAGGTACGTGGCATGGGTAAAGGCGCGCGGCAGCACACTAAATGCTTCCAATGGGAGAAGGGTCCGCTGCAACCACCGCATCGCGAGAGAGGCGGCCGCCACATGCGCTACAACCGCTTTGTCCCTGCGCGGTCCGTGCCAACACTCGCAGGCCCTGGCAACCGAGATAGCGGGCAAGGATGCCCGCGCAAGCGCGCGGACCATGGTGCGGCTGCTACAGCACCTGCTGGCCCGCAACCCTGTTGCCACAAGGCGTGGGTTCATCATGGACGGGTGGCCCCGCTCGCTGGCTCAAGCGAAGGCCCTATATAGCCCGCAGGTCGCAGGCAGCAGCATGGCAAGCATGGCCGGGGAGCAGGCAGCAAGCTCACCAGGCGGGAAGGTAGGTGGTGTGCTAGGTGCTTGGCGGCGGTGGCCTTGGCGGCGGTGGCCTTACCCCAGCAAGGAAGCGGGCAGGCTAGGGCGCCATGCTTGTCGCAAAACAGCGGTGGTTGTGAGCAAATGTCAGTGTAAATACTTCACATCCTGGGTTCATTCCCCCCACACCTACCAATCAGGATAAGAAGAAGCAAGCAGGCAGCAGCAGCAAGGACGGTGGCAGCTTCAGCGCTATTGCAAAGTCAAAGCGCGCCAGCATGGCCGGCGGCGGCGTGCACGAGGACGCGACAGCCTCACCGGCAGAGCCCGCACCCATCAGCAGCCGCGACCTTCTGCCCCACTGGGTGCTGCAGCTTGACGCGCCCCGTGAGGAGTTGCTGCGGCGCACCAAGGGGCTCGCAGCTGCAGAGGAGGCTGCAAATGCTGCGACAGCAGCCGCAACGGCGGCGGTGGCAGCAGCAGCAGCGGCTGCTGTGACAGCTGCGGCTCTGGCTAGCGGGACCAAGGGAGCGGCCACCGGCAGCGGTCAGCAGCAGGCAGTGGCGGCTTTGCGGGCGGCCAAGAAGCCTGGCCTGGCCGCAGGGGGCAGGGAAGCGGGCAGCACGGAAATTGAAGTGCTGCGGCCATCTCATAACAATGAGCGCGACTTCACGCGGCGATATGATGCGTGGCGCGCCCTGGTGCAGGAGGATGCTGCTGAGCTGGCGGCCAGGGTGAGCACCGCCAGGCAAGCAGGCACGGACTGTGTGATGATGATCGCAACCTTGCTTATCGAGTCATAAAGGTCTGCAAGCACCTTCGCAAGCGTCTCGACACAAATCATCCCCAATGCCGTGCGTCGCACTGCGCGACCCCGCAGCGCTCTGCTGCCCTGGCAGCAGCCAGCATCGTGGAGGGCCCCGAGTCCACGGCGGACGGCAGGCCGCGCGGTGGTGGCGGCTCCACACGCACACCAGGCACCAGCCGTGCTGCGACCCCCTCAACAATGAGCGGCCCTGGGGCAACGGTGCAGGCAGCCACCGATGAGGGGGACAGCAGCACAGCTCATGCGCCTGCGGTGCAGCTGCAGCCCTTGACAGCGGCCGACATCACCCTGCCAGAGCACGGCGGTTTCCCCGCATTCTTTGTGGAGGCCGGTGAGCAAAGGGGCAGCAGGACGTTGATTGGCGCGTGAAGGAGTGGCCTTCATCAGCTGTAAGTAGCCCCCATCATTTTCGATTGTTGCTGCCTACCCTGCCTTGCAGGGTGCAGCTTTGTGGCGCTGGACAACCCCTGCGACGAGGCACTAGCGGTGCTGCCGCAGCCTTGGGCTCCAGAGGGAGCGGCAGCAGCACACCGGCCAGACCAGCTGCTGCTGCCGCTGCCGACTCTCGAGCAGCGCCTGCACGAGCTGATTGGCCTGCCTCACAATTATGATGGGTTTCCGCCAGAACTTGATGGGGGCCTGGCTTCTGTGACCGCCGCAGTGGCGGTGGCGGAGGAGGCACGTGTGGCGGCAGCGGCAGCGGCGGCGGCGGCGGCAGAGGCAGCAAGAGTTGCTGAGCAGGACAAGGAGCAGAGGTGCCAGCAGGTAGGGCCCAGCTGATTGAAAGGCGGCAACGAAGATGGACGCTGGCTTGGGCTGCCCTGCTAGCTGGCAGTGCTCATGGCACAGCGATACCTGCCTGCCCCGCCCTACATGCCACAACTCAACCTCAACTCCCACAGGAGCGCACTGCAAGAGAGCAGCGCCAGCGCCGCGAGGCGCGAACGGCAGCGGGCGCAGGTCCCCTGCGGCGCTACCTGCTGCAGATGGTGATGCCGACTGTCACAGCTGGGTTGACACAGTGCGTGGTGGACCAGCCGCCAGACCCTGTCCAGGTGTGACACAAGTGGCGGTGACTGTAAGGGGGTGGGAACCGCTGGCCACCGAAGACTCCCCCCTGCTGGGGCATGCCCTGGTGCATTCCTTCACGCCCCCGAAGCAATGCTTGCGCCCGCTCACACTATCATGATCATCAGGTCCTGGCCAGGCGGCTGCTGGAGGCAGCGGACGCGCTGGATTCGCGCCACCGCGACCCCTATGACGACGACGCCTATGCAGAGGCTGAGGCCAAGGTGGTGGCAAAGAGGGCCCGCGATGCTGCACGCGCAGAGGCGGCACGCCTGAAGGCAGAGAGGTGGGCTGCAAGCAAGCAATATTTGGGAGGGTCCAATCCTGACAGGACAGGTCTGCAAGCCGATGACAGAATGGGTCAGGTGGGTTAAAATGTTTCGATTTGTTCTGGGATGTCGGCCTGAAAGTGTACGTCCCCAGCTGACGTAGATTCTGATTCTGAACCTCTGCCTTGACCCCGGCTACCCCCAGGGAGTCGGCGGCAAGGGCACTGGAGGAGAAGGCACGAGAGGCGCAAGCAGCGGCAGAAGAAGCTCGCGCTGCGGCACCACCCGCCGGCAGCCTGCAGCAGCAGGGGTTGCCTGCTCCGCCAGCGACAGTGCCTCCACCCGAGCATGGCGGTGGCAAACAAAGCCGCAAGGGCAAGTAATGGCGAGGCACCTACTCAGCCCACAATTCGTTGCGAACTTGGTCTGGTGTGACTCGGCATCTCGCTGTGTTCGCTGAACAGGGTCAACTTGGTTGTCACAGACTGAGTCCTGTTGGTGGATCCTGTTACATGAAGGTGTAACAAGGTGCCTGCGTGCTGGCCCCACTCCTTGAGTGTGGAGAAGCAAATGACATCATTCAGAACCTAACAAAACCAAATATGCGAGAGTCCCAGCACTCCAAGGCTTGGTGTGCAGCTTTGCCACGGCACCGCTCAATGTAATGCACCGCGGGCTGCAGATCCAGGCAGTGCCGCCCCCGTTCTCCGCCCCCTGGCCGTGCCATCAGAAGGGGTTGACGATGACCTCCGTGACGTCGGGGAACTTGTCCTTCACCGCAGCCGTAATGCCCTTGGCCAGCGGAGGGGGGCCCTGCGCGACCGCCGCGCAGAGATCCCGGGGTGTTGGGGGGGGGAGCGATGGGTCATGAGCTGATGCAACAGCTGTGTGACGCGCGACCCTTGCACCGCGCAGCACAGCCGCAATCGTTTACCACAGGCTTGCACAGGCATCCAGCGCAAGCTCAACCGTGCATTGCCTGCAGGCCTGTCCAAGCCCCGTATGCAGCGTGAGCGTGACGCATCATCTGCCCCCACCCGCACCTTGTAGCGCAGCACGACTGTGCCGCCCTCTGCCGAAACGACCTCCACAGCCCCGCCCATGGCCATAATGGCAGGGCGCACCACATTGAGGTGGTCGTCCACGGCAGCCACACTGGCGCGCGTGTCCACCTTGTCCACCTGGCGGTTCGGGGGAACGAATGGGGAGAAAACGCAACGCACCACGAGCCCGGGGAACCTTTGCAGACTTGACGTGAAGAAGGGGATTAGAATGGTTGAGGAAGCACGCGGGTGAAACACAGGCGCCGCATAAAGGAGGCGGGCTTGCACTGCCGCGATCGCCCTGCTGCCCTCGCCCTGCCGCCTCGGCCCCATCCCACCCCGCCC